TGGTGAGAGGTGTATTCATCCTCGGATCCAGCAGTATCCTCAAAGCCTTGAAGAGAAGGGTGAGGAGAGTGACCCTTACCAAAGGATCTAATATGATCTTTCAAGGACCTTTTGTGCTTGAAATCCGAACCACAAGTGCAATACCAAAGCTTCCCGCAGTTCTTCTCATGTGTCCTCCAATCACCTTTTACTGCAAAAGCTTTTCCACATTTCCTACACATGAAGGGTTTCACACCATGTTTCCTCTTGTAATGAGTCTGTAATGTCCTAAAGTCCTTGAGCGGCTTGGCTTGTGGATGGTTGATGTTGTTCTTGCAACCTTGGACACAACAATAACATGGCAACCTTAGCATTGCTGCTGGTTGTGTTCCTCTCAGAGAATCTGCTCCTTTTCTGTACTCAGATCCATGTCCCCACATATGCATCTGTCCCAACAAATTCTATGTATTCATTTCTAATTTTTAATATTAATTTTCTCTTTCATTTGGTATCTTTTGAATAAATTCAGTAATGAAATGAAATTCATTAGTAAATCTGTATTTAATTTATCTAGGAGAATATAGAATTTGTATTATGATAATAAAAAATTTGACTACACGTGAAATTGTACTAGGAAGGGGAATCATACATCCAAAATTTCATCAAATTTGATTGACATTACAATGTATTATCTGTTCTATTTTATTCTATCTGAAATTTTATCTTGATTCGATTTTATTATTTTAAATAAAATTTTATAATTTTTTTAATTAAAATAAGTATACATTTATATATATATATGTATCATTTTGATTTTGAATTTATTTCAAGCATAACCTTTTTCTATGGAGATATATAACCTGATTTCATCATATACAAATCAATTATTTATGAATAGGAGCATAGATAAAGATTATATTACTTTTTCATGTTGTATAATTAAGAGAATGCAAATTGCAAAAACAAAAGGTAAGTAGTGATTTTAGCTAGTTGGTTTAATAATGCACTCTAAGAAGCCTAAAGTAATAACAAGAAGTTAATTGGAAATATTGGAAAAAAAAAGATATGTAATAAAACCACTTATGTTATTTATATTAGAGGTTTTAACTACTTCCTTTACTTTCTTGTTTCTTTTAAAATTTCAACTGAAAAGAAGACAAAGAAGAGTGAAAGTCAAAAGATAATGTGATGGTGATGATAAATTAATTCTTGATGCAACCAACGCAAATATTTGAAAATGGAATATGTAGATATTTGATTGTTCATATCAATTTATCGAACATTTTAGGATAAGTGTTTAAATACACAAGTTACTTACAATAACACGGTCGATATTAATAATAGTAGATTTCTATATTTTTATGTGAAAATTATTTGTTGGCAAATAAAAAACCATTAAGAAAAATATGAAGGTTCAATAATCAACCCAAAAGAAATAAGTGTTTTGCACATAGATGTAGTAAATATATATTTATAGGGCTTGGAACAAGGAATAGGTACTTAATTAATTCTCGCATGTCATTAAAAATAGCTTATTAAGGATTTCTGTTTCTCTAATTGATCTCTTGGTAAAAAATGTGATCTTTTCTAAGATAAGAATGAAAAGTGAAATCATAATTAGTTTATATGATACTAAATAACAAAAGAGGATAATAAATTAAAAGAATTCTTTGCAAGATATATGCAATTAAACATCCATTCTTTGATCATTATGATTAATAAAGAATCATTCAAGTCTTAATATACAAAGACTAATTTAGAGATAAAATGATGTAAATGCAGTGTTTATCCATATTAGATATATAGAGAAGAAGTAAATGATGATCGGTAATATGTAATAGTATCAGTACACATGACGAAGAGAAGAAAGTAAATTTATTTATATATACTAACCTGCATATTATTGTATCTATTGAAGGTCTTGCTGCATATGGAACAAGCAAACTGCATGGGGCCAACCAAGATCTGTGCAGGAGTTGGGATCCAAAATCGAGTTTGTGAGTTAAAAGTTTGTTTTTCCTTAGGATCTTTCTTCTCTAATGAGTAATCTGGTTGAGTGTTAGGCAATCCAATGTGCAAAGCAACCGTGACTTTCTCCTGCTTGATCTTTTGCTTTATTCCTTCGTTACGATCTTCATCTTCTGTTACAATCGATTTAGTCTCTGGGAGGCGGTTGAGAAGAGGCAAGCATTGGATGGTTTCATGTTGTGATTTTTGGTATAGGAGAGGCAAGTTTAACATACTCATCATCATCTTTGGATTCCAAAGCTCAACTTGTTGAGTCACACATGAAGAAGAAGAAGAAGAATAAGAAGAAGGCTTGAGCCATTCAATAAAAGTAGACCTAGTATTGTGATGATCTACATATTGGAGATTTCTTAAACCCATATTTATATAATTTAGATCTGATGAGAAAATTTCTAACTAAATATTAGTATCTTGGGGGTTTTGTGAGAAAACTAGCTAGTAGTTGATGATTTTATGATTAAGTTTTGTCTTTTAACTTTCTCCGCCTTTGGCTTTAATTTGTTTTGTTAGAAAGAAAGAGAAAGAGAAATTAGTGGTGGGGTTAGGGACAATGACATGCATAAAATCACTAAATTAAGAGAATCCTAGAATAGTCTCAACTTTACAATATGTTGTCATGTGAACTCTTTCTATTTTTTTTTTTTTCTTTTATCACCCATTTTTATATCTATGTATTCTCATACGTAGACAAATCTATGTATTTATAACACACTTGTAATTTTTTGACATTATGCAAATAATATAATTTGGTCACTACCTAAAAGTAAAATAAAATATTATTTATTACATTTTCTATATAAATAATCATATGTGACTTCTTGATTTTCAATTATATGCAAGGTGCATTTTTAAGTTCCACAATAAAATATTCAATGGAAATTCTTTATAGAAGTGAGGAAATATGATTTGAAAATTGATTTTATATCAAAAGTATAAAAGCTGATACAAAATAATCTGATTAATTATCTATATTCTAACAGATGACAAATATTAATATAAAAATA